CCGTCGCCCCCGGCTCCGAGCCACCTCCGCTGCTCGCTGCACGGCGTTCGCTGCGTGGCCTTACCGCAGGCTGACCGAGGGACTGTAGACAGACGTTGCTCTGTGTATGTTCTTATGAAGCAAAGAATTATAAAAGTAGTCTAGGGAGAGCTCTAGCACATTGATGAAAGCCAGGAGCAGGTTCTCCAGGGACTAGAAGGGAAGGAAACCTGGCCTTCACATCTTACAGTGGAGCTGAAAACCAGAGGGTAGATGAGTAAAGCACACTTGAAAAGTTTAGGTGGCCAAGCTCTCATCTGTTCAGCAAGCGTGTAAACTGCTTACTTTACGAAGTCCTCCCTGATTTAGCTTAGCAGCATCTTGAACTAAAGGAATAGGTAATTCATATCTGGGCAATAAAATTCCCAATTAAAACAAGAAGGGTGAACAGCAGCATTAGCCTAGTGCCAGAAGTCCAACCTGAGAGCTAACAGCCCATAGCGCTGGGAACTGCTGTGCTGACAGAAGCGCTCGGTCCTTACCAAAGGAGTGAGTCAGTGGCATGCACCTTGCTGTTGGGAGAGGTGGAGCTGCTGGGGGGGTGCCGGCTCCACCAGCCACACAGGTGCAGGAAGGAGTTTTTACATCCTGTAAGGTTTAAGGAGCAGTAGGTTTTAAATCGACAGTACTAAATGCTTACAGAGGTTATTTAAAACCCTCTGTAAATACGATCCTTACTCCAGTAAGCATGGCCCGACTGAGAGCAGAGATGGCAACTGCTCCTCTGAAACACCTTCTGATCTCTTCTGTTGCAGTCAGCGCTGAAGAAGAGACTGATGGAGCTGCATAATCAGAGCGAGAGGGCTGCTCGAGCGATGAACACGGTGAAAACAAACCAAAGCCAAGCTGCTGTAAGTGGCTGACCATTCAAAATGCTGTCAGGTTGCTTGGCATACGCTGGCTGCTGCGTGTTGTTGATGTTTGTACTCTCGTGACAAGGGCTGTAGTATTGAGATTGCATTGGCGGGAGAAGATGTTATTGGGAAGGAACAGAAAAGAGGCCTTTTGGCAGAGCCAGGCAGCTCCATGGGAGATGGGAGTAACCCGACCACTGTGACACACCTGATCCGTAACGGGGCTCAAACCCATCTTTTCCTGTGGCACCAGAAAGCACGTATCTGTGCAGCTAAAGGATTAGTGAGCTGTAATGGCTGCACCAGTGCAGAAAGTTGGGATGCCTTTTCCCCATAAATTACCACAACAAAACCTTGCTCTTAGCTGATGATTGGGGTTGCTGTTTGTCCTGACGGCTGGATTGGGTACATCTCACTTGTACCATCCTTTCTGAACTTGGTAGAGTCCAAGAAACTGAAAGGCTGCTGGGGTAGCGCTTCTGCGCTCCTCTGGAACACCTCTCAGAGGATCAGGAATTACTTTGTATTAACCAGACATGCTGTATCTTGGAGGCAGAAGCAGCTACAGCCGTGCGAGTGGGTGTGCGGCGTCCGAGCTGGCAGTGGCACAGCCCAGTCCCAGTGTTGGTAACTGCTGGATGGCACAGCTGGCCTGGCCTCTGCCTGCAGCTCCCGCAGCAGGGGTCGGGAGACTGACAACTGGCCTGACTTTTTGGGAGTGAATGACTTTTCTTTCCAAACGACATAGAAATACATGGCTTTTCTATTGCCTGTTTCGAGTAGTTGAAGCCTACATGTTCCTCAAACGCTTGGGTTTTTCTTGTAGTAGTAGTAGTAAGCAGTACTTTGTCCACAAGCTGTTCTTTTGAAACCAGTGTCTGTCTGTTCTTCTCTGCTCCAGGAGACAGCTTCCAGAAAGAAAGATTTGATCAGAAGTGAGTTTTCAGAAATTAAGGTTTTAATTGAAGAAACAGAAAATCAGACCTTAAAAGTAATTGCAGATGAAGAAAAAAGAGTTTGCAATAAGTTTGATTATATTTACGGTGTTCTGGGAAGTAAGAAGAATGAAATTCAGTCTCTCAGAGATCAGATTGAGATGGCACTGACTGAAGGTGATGACATTCTGTTTTTGAAGGTAATACGTCCTTTAGATGCAAATCCAGTTCTTCATGTTTCTAGAATGCAGAATCACAGAAACCTGCTGTGGTAGTCCTGCTCTCCAGACACTTTCAGTCAAATGACAATGCAGTCGTGTGGAAGAACCTGCTGTAAAAGGACATACTGATAAGCACACAGATACCAATGAGAGTGCTGAAATGAAGCAATGTCTGGTAACTCCCCCCAATTCAGCCTCTGCCATAAGTGGAGGGGCCAGTGAGTGAGAGAATTAATCTCCGTGAGTTGTTGCAGCTCCATGCCGTGACACAGTCTAGTAGATCCTTCTCACTGCTTCAGATATCAGTTGAGAACTAATGCATATGGGTTGCTGCTGAAATTTTGCTATGGGTCGTGTCTGACTGTAGCCTTTGCTCCTTTGAATTTGAGATGAATGCACAAAACCCACCCCATTTAAAGTAACGTGGTTGGATTTTTTCTGTGTCTGCTACACAAGGTGGTCTGCCTGAGATCTTCCATTTCTCATTTCAGAGAGCAGCAGCACTGCAACGAATGTCAACAAAAGAGGCTTTTATCCCTGCAATTGAAATGGACCAAAACATCATACTTTCTGCTTATCAGTCTGCCATTAACCTTAAAGAGGCTGTGAAACTTGCAACGGCTCCGTGGAGGGAGAAAAGAGCAGAAGGTACTGTATCACTGGGAGAACTGGCATTTTCTGCCTTGGCTTTGAGTTCAAATGAGGCTTCTTCCTCTTCCAATCCAAATATTGTTAAAAAAAATAGTGCAACAAATAGAGTTGGTTAATATAAATTGTCTTCCAACTTCTGTGGTCCTCCATTTCCAAACAAATGCTACAGTCTGGGCTAAACTAGGAAAAAAGAGTGCCAGTGTCTCTTTACTTTTATCTATACTTGGATAAGCTGATGAGTATTGTGATACTATGCCCTTCTGGCACAGCTCAGCCTTTATTCCTTACAGTAATTTGTGTTTTTATTATATAGCAGGGTTGGGTGCAGTTAGGATGTGGATTTGAGGGCAGACATAAGACGCTTTTGAGTGATAGGACTGTGGTTACTCAACTGTAAAGATGCTGATCGTGTAAGTGTTGTAGAAAAAAGCCCTAAGCCCTGCTTGCCAGGTTAAGCAAAAGTATCTTTTGGACTGGGGCACGGGTATCTCCTATGCAGTTTCCATCTCTGCCAAGTATCACTTAAGTTCTATTCACATGACTGAAAAATAAGATTGAAAAATGTCCTTGCTCATGCATTACTGTTCCTGGCAATACAAACCATAATGTAAAATATCGCCATTGCAGCAAAACTGCCACTCGGGAAACCTAAGCACCCTCCAGCAGCTCCTCCAAACAAAGCCTTTGCTGGGAAGAAGCCTCCAGGACCACGTAAGTACTAAAGAACATCATCCTCTCCTAACTGTGGCTTTACCATTAAATAAGAATTCAAGCAGTTACCCAAGAGCTGTTTGCTGTAGTGGTGATGCAGTGATTATCTGTAGTGAGCACTGGCGTGGAGAAGAGAGGGTGTTTTGGGCTATTTAGTGATGAATGTCTTGTGAGCTGTAAAGCAGCAAACTGCACAGGTACGATGGTGCGTTAGCCTCAGTGTGCGCCTGCAGTGGTGTCAGTGCAGGCTGTAAAGCAAAGCAGAGCCTCCCCACCCTCTGGTTCTTGCAGGTTTTTTGTCATTTGCAGTAAACATCTGTTGGCTTGTTTGATGGATTTGTATGTACTGAATCCTGCTTATGAGCTGTTCGTGTTTCTTCTGCCTCCCCCAAGAGCATACCCAGAAAGAGAAAATCCCTCACCAGACTCAAGCCACTTTGCAGTGGGAAGCAGATACCAGTAAGTGGTGATTAATAGGAGCCTTACGCAAACATTTTGCTGGCCGTGTCTTGCTTGCAGTCTAAGGCTGGGGTGATGGAGACAGTCTTTTTGGCAGGTTATACTGGAGCCTTTCAGTGTTGTTCTGTCGAGATACTGGTATTAATGCGGCACTCCAGCCTGTCTGAAAGATCTTCCATATTCTCTTTTTGAAATAAATCCAAGTGTTAAGAAACTTCTGTTAGATCCACTGAGCTCTTGACACATGGTCCTTTCCATTCACATGTCCTGGGTGTGGAGCACTCCACAGGGCCTGTTGTGGATTGCTGGAGTTGAATGAACTTGTAGCTCCTGTTGCTGCACTAGAAGATCTATTGTAAAAAGAAAAGGAATAGTTTGTGTGCCTCATGGGAACAGGCTTATGACCGCTTGCCCTAACACGCTGCATGCTGGAGTAGAGACGAAGCTTCATGTGTAGCTCTCCCATATAGGTATATTTGTACGTGGCTTCGGCATGCCGCACTGTCAGCTTTATCTACTGCTGCTGCCTCAGAAGAGCCATGATGGTAGTGTTAGAGGTGGCATAGTCTATCAGCGGCTTTTCAGTCTCAGTAGAACTCACAGTTCACTTTTTTTTTTCTTTTTTTTCCCCCTCCAGAGGAGAGAAAGAAACCTGTTAAAGTTGGTGAGTCCAAACTTTCGGCATACTTATTCTAATTTTCATTGACTGCTCTTAAAAAGATAAGTAGATGGTCACTAGTGTTGGTGTATTAAGCAAAAGTTCAGCTCTTGCTCCGAGAAGGCTCTTACTGGTCACTGTGAGAGCGATCAAGCACTGAAAGACGTTGCCCACAGACAACAGGGGATTTTTAAAACTTGACAAGAGTGTGAGCTAATACTGAAGTTAACCCTGCGTGGAGCAGGAGGCTGAAACAGATAACCTCTAGAGCTCCACTCCAACCTGAGGGTGTCTGTGACTGTGTGTTAACTATGCAGGCGTTCTTCCCAACTGGCCTAATTCTCTTTTCTTCTGTCGACACAGCACCAACACCAAATCCTGCAGCTGCTGTTTCAAGTAAAGAGCTTATTGACAGCTTTCTGAAGAAATCCAGAGAGGAGCTTTTGCAGTGTAAGACACCCAATGTTACACTACTTAACACCAGTGCAATAAGCACAGAAAGTTCATCTTTATGTGCCCTCTGTTTATCTGAGGGGGTTTAGTTAGCTTAGTAGGTTATCAACTAGTTGTTACAAGTGACGGAAACTTTTGGAGGAAGAGGGGGCAGGAGGTTTCTAAGTGGTTCTTTTGCCAGATGAATCAAATTTATCTTTGGTATTCATGTATCTTTACAAAGGTAAATGAAGTTTTCTCAGTAATGGCTTTGGTTTCTCCCAAAATGACTGCATTAGGGTAGCCTAGAAATACGATGTAACACACTGGATTTTCCTTTGAAATGAGATGCAGGCTTTTATGAGAGCCTGTGATGGCTTGCTTAAGATGATATACCAGATGGTATACAATATGGTGTGCCTTTTGCTGACAGATCGGCAATCCCCTTCTTCTGCTAGCATATATTTGGGTGGTGAAGGAATCCCGTGGGGATGCGGGAAGGAAGGAAACTTGCCCTCCATTTGCCTGCCGTGTAACACAGAGCTGCAGTTGAACCCAGCAGCTATTACTGTCGCCTTAAGAATTGCCTGCCCTGTGGAGGAGAGCAGAGCAGGGAGATAAACGTGCATAGGAACAAGTGCCCAGGCAGGATGGTATAAATAAAAGTGCTTTGCTCTTCAGTACCTTCAAACGATTCGTGTCATTGCAGATGCTGCTAACATCACGCTGGATTACAACACAGCTCATAACAAAGTGGTTCTGTCTGAGGGGTATACCAGGATGTCAGTCTCAGACATCCCCATGAATTACAACAACCACCCTCAGCGCTTCACTGATTGTTCCCAAGTGCTGGGGTTCCAGTGCTTCAAGAGAGGCATCCACTACTGGGAAGTGGAACTGCAACAGAACAACTTCTGTGGCATTGGCATCTGTTACGGCAGCATGAACCGGCATGGGCCAGAGAGCCGCCTGGGGAGGAACAGCAGTTCTTGGTGTATTGAGTGGTTTAATTGCAAAATATCATCCTGGCATAATGATGTTGAAAAGTGCTTACCCAATGTGAAGGCTACCAAGATTGGTGTGCTGCTCCACTGTGAGGGAGGCTTTGTGATTTTCATGGCTGTTGGGGAGAAGCATAACTTGATCTATAAATTCAAAACCCAGTTTACTGAAGCCTTGTACCCTGCCTTCTGGTTATTTTCCAGTGGCACTGTTCTCTCTCTCTGCCAAATGAAACAGTAAGGTCGCATATCTTAATTTAGTTTGCCTTAGTACTTACATGCAGATAATCAGTCGTGCAGCAACTCTTTGTATGTCTTAGTCTAAGAAGTCTCAAAGATCGATTGTTTGAGACAAAAATGATCAGATCTTTTAAGCTGTTTGGGAAATCTGCTGATTCTTTGGTCTGAATTGCTAAAGCCTTTAGATAGTGATTTAGTAAAACATTGATGATAGTAAAAACTACCGTATAAGGTTTTGCAAAGATCTTGATTGTCCTAAAAGCAAAGTTACGATATGAACCATTGTTAAATGTCTTCAGTAGCCACTGTGGCTTCTGTGATTTGCTGTAAAGGATCCCGGGAATTAATTTTCAGGTCTAAATGTGTTTCACAGGTTTCTTTCTTCCAGAAAGAAACAGGAAGAATTCCTAGACAAATTCAGGTCCCAGCCTTTGAGGTAGGTCTTGGTGTTATCTTTTTCTCTATATGCAGACTGCTGTCCATAGTCAGGATTTGCAGTACATGTGTTCTTGGTGTGTGATGCCATGAGACGGTACAGAATGAACTACTAAAATCAGTAAGTTCAGGTCTTATGACATTGTTATAAAAGCCAATATGACAAGTCTCATCAGAATGGAAAGGCAGAGACTTTTAGAGTTGATGGATAATGGTGTCAGAATCACCAGGAAATAAATGACATAAACTCAGAGACTGGTAATATGCCAGAGAGTCTTCAGGAAGATATCCTGCAGAGCAGTAGCGTGTGCCCTGTAATAATACAGTTTGCGGGATGAAGCGTTCTGTCTCATATTCTGACCCAGAACATGCTTCACATCTTCACACTGAAGGCTCTTCAGTGGTTTGTGTTTTTTTTTTTTTTTTGGTGTGCTGAGGAGTTTGAGGAGTACATTTTTGGCTTGCATAGGGAACATAAGTGTGCTGTTCACTTAAAGCAGGGTCTGCTGTCATAAAGCTTTTCCTCTTTGTGAGGTGGGATATTCTCTGCTGGTGTATCTTTAGTTGTTCGGGTGGTAGAAACTGGATTCCCTACATGTTATTTGGACTCTCATTCAAGGAGTCGTCTCCATCTGTGGAGATTTTCAAAAGCTGACTGGACACAGTCCTGAGCAACCTGCTTGTGCAGGAGGGTTGGTCTAGATGATCTCCAGAGGTCCCTGCCAACCTCAGCTATTCTGTGAGTCTCAAGACAGTGTGCACAGTACATAGGAAATCCTGCTTCCTCTCTGCATGAAGCCTGTAGGCAGATGGGTGAGTCTTTTGAAACATACAGGGAATTAGCACTAAGGAGAATATACTTCCATTCCCACTGCAATGGATTTTTAATTCTCCTGGTGTTCTTTGCTTTGGGTTGTGGTATGTCTTCAGAAGTCCTCGCCACATACAGAGGAATCCGTACTTCTGCATTTCTTTCTTACAACTTTAAAACAATCAGTAGGCAATCAAGGTATTTGGATCTCATAGTTATTGGGCCTGTATCTTGTTGATGCCTCTGGACTTACCATGCTAGCTCTTATTTCTTGTAGTAGCCCATGAAGAACAGGGAAACTCACATGAGAGACTTCCTGGACTTTGGTTTGTAAAAATCCCCCTTATGAGACTTGCTGAAATAAAACACAAAGCTACTGCTGGCAGTTTAGAAGGGGGTTGTTAGAAGGCTCAAAGGAAACCTCTGTGACTACATTTCACGTTAGCCAAAGTGCTTTAGAGAGACTTGCAGGAATTCAGGCTTGGTGCCTCTATTTTTACTTGGTTTGTAAACTCTGAGTAATTTGTCAAGGATAGCATAAGTCTGATAAGACTCTTCCATTTCTTTGGTCAGAATATGGAATTGGTCAGGATATGGAATTGATGGTGGACCTGAAAGTGCCATGGCTGTCTTTGGAGTAGTTGTATTATCTCAACAGTCTCAGCTTTCCAAAGCACAGTCAGCACTAAAACTACCAAACTCAGCAAAACACTTTTCAAAAGGTGCAGAAGGAGGATGAGTCCTGCTAGGAGCCAATGAGTGCAGAACTCTTTTTTTTTTTTTTTTTTTTTTTTTTTTTTTTCCTTTATTGTTTCACCCTTTTTTTTTTTTTTTTTTTTTTTTTCTTTCTGCACTTCCAGTTTTTCAGCAGTGAGGGACAAGAGCAATTTCCTGTGAGAGAAATCCTGCCTCTTTAGCTGCTTGGTTGTAATGCAGGGCTGCAGATCCACTCAGTAGGGTGCTGAAGGAGTACTCTGTCCCCTTGTTCATGGGGAAAGAAGTGCTCTGATCGTTTGTGCAGCTGAAAAAGTCCACATTTTCTGTTGCTTGCTTCTTGACTTTAAAGAGGTGTCAATATTAACCTCCAAGTGTATGGGCTTCTGTAGCCATAGTCTGGAGTGATACTCAAGCAAAGTAAAGAGCAGCTTTTATTCTGCAGCGTTGGACAAGGTGGGATTCTTTAAATGTTACAGTGGTGTATGACCAACGGTATACAACACATACGGTGTTCTGGAGTACCACAGGCAGTGAAACAAGCCTGCCGCTGTATTCCGGATTCTCTTTTTTTGTTTGTTTTCTTTGGTGCTATGGATGACTAGTAACGATAGAATGAATTTGAAAAAGAACTAATTCTGGTGTTAATAAAGCCATGAGGATGTAGAATGATTTGCATATTAATGTGCAAGTGAGTAAATGGAGAAACGCTTGCCCTCTGAAAATACAACGATCTGTCTAAAATTAATATTTTCTTCAATGTCATAAAATACTGCAGTTATTACATAAGCATACATAATTTTCTTACAAACCTGTTGATTGTACTGATAATCAGCCATGTACTCCAGTATGTATACTATATGTTATTTCATATAGATGGCATAAAAATCTACGTCTGTTGCCCCGACAAAGATGTCATCTGTTTTATGACTGTGCCTGTAACTGTTTTAGAAGTAGACTGTTGTTGATCTTTTCAGCTCTAAAGTGAATTAACTGTGGTATTTTTAATTCAATAAATATTCATGGTAAACCCTAACTCTAAATGTTTTGTTCTGTGCTCAAAGTTGAAGCAAGCAGTAAGGGAGGCAGAAATATAGATGCTGTAGTGTACAAATAACAGGTCTTTTACTGCATAACACACTGAGTTATACAAGAGCTGCGGAAGAGAGAAAAGGAGAGCTGCATAGGCTGTGGTATCATCTGGACTGTCAAATGCCATCCTAAACTATCTCCTTCACCTGAGCTACACACCCTTTACCAGTAACACTGCATCCTAGCTGACGATGAGGGGAACGTCCTATCCAGTAAAGAAAACTGGAGACATTTTTTGGGTAAGCTGGAGGAAAATGAACAACTAAGGACTCAGTATGTGCAATGGGATTGCTTAAAAATGCCTTCGGTGATGTCCAGCATCTGCCAGCTTAAGTTACATCTGGAAGCAGGACTGGGTGATGGTTCCTACAAT